AAAGGAGACACTCAAAAGGACATTTGTAAGGAGACAGATGAGGTTGAAGGAGACACTTAAAAGGTAATCTGTGAGGAGACAGCTGAGATAAAAGGAGACACTCCCTATGTCTCCCACCCGGTACGATTTGTACGGCTACAGGGGCAATCTCTGAGTCGAGTGTCTCCATCTGCTTGAGCAGAGCCACTGAGCTTCTTGCGTCTTGTTTGTCTAATATAGATGCTGCTGTCTTCAATCTCTTCGCTACCCCTCTCTTTATCCCCTTCTTCTGTTGCAACTCAGCCTCCAATAGGGCCCCCGTCAGGCTCACCGGGGGGCCCCCTGACCTCGCAAACACAGACATCTTCACCTCTACTTCCACACCAATGACAACTTATATGAGGCCCTAGGGGGCCCTACGGGCCCCTAGGATGGCCTTAGGGGGCTCTAGAAGGCCCTAGGGGGCCTTAGGGGGCCCTTGCAGGGCCCAATGGGGCCCTAGGATGGCCCAAGGGGGGCCCCAAGGGGGCCCAAAGGGGGCCCCGGGAGGACCTTATGGGGCCCTCTAGAGCCACAGGGGGAATATAGGGGGCCCCAGACAGGGCTTATAGGACTCTATGGGGGCCTTAGGGGGTCTTAAGGGGCCCCAGAGAAATCTGAAGGGGCTTCAATAGATCTTTAATAGGCCAAAGCAGAGCTTTAAAGGCCTTAGGGAGACCTTAGGAGACCTTATGAGGCTATAAGTAGCACAGAAGAGGGGAAAAGGAGACTCTGGGGCCCCCAACAGCCAGCCAAGGGACCCCTGAGGGCCCCTGAGGGTACACTGGGGGCCCCCGGGGGCCCCTGAGGGCAGCTGAGGGGCCCCCTGAACGAAGGGGGGCTCGTGATAGTAAATTAAGTGAGGAGCACGAAAGAAAGAAGCAGCAGCAGCTGCTGCTGCAGCAGCAACAGCAGCAGCAGTAGCAGTGGCTGAGCAGATGAGGGGTCTATAGAGAGGGAGAAGAGATGTAAGACACCGATTGATTGTTTATTTGTTTGTTTATTTGTTTGTCTTTATTCACTTATCTTTTATTTATTTACTATAAACAACAAGGGGAGATATATCTATTCTTGTGAAGAGCAGCAAAGGCCATCGGTCTGTGCGCCTCGCGCTCTCACTGAGGCCCCCAGACCGGTGGTGCTGCTGCTGCTGCTGCTGTTGCTGCTGCTGCTGCTGCAGGTATTGTTTAGTTTGTATGTGTATTAAATAAATAATAATGAGGAGGCGAAGGAGACCTTGGGGCTTTTTGTTTGCTGCATCAACCTAAGGTGCATACTGCGCAGCAGCACATGCATGCAACATAAACAAAAAAGTGTTGCTCTATGTATCTCCTTTGAAGGCCTTTCAATTGCTGCTGTCTCCTTAAGGTGTCTCCTCCTCAGCCTTCATCGTTTAAATGCCTGTTTGTTGCTTTTAATATTCATTTTCTATGCATATATAAGTATATGTATATAAGACAGCGAGTAAATAAATATATATATATATATGTATATATATATATATATATGTATATATATATATATATATGTTTATTCTCTGTCTTTGTTTGGTGTATACACCCGCAGACAATTCGTCATTCAATGGATGTTATCAACGGCTGAGGAATATCAACTACTCACTATAAAGAGAGACAAAAAGAAGAGACAGATAGAGAGACAAAAAGAAGAGACAGATAGAGAGATAAAAAGAAGAGACAGACAGAGAGATAAGAAGAAGAGACAGACAGAGAGATAGAAAGAAGAGACAGACAGAGAGATAGAAAGAAGAGACAGACAGACAAAAAGAAGAGACAGACAGAGAGACAAAAAGAAGAGACAGACAGAGAGAAAAAAGGAGACAGACAGAGAGATAAGAAGAAGAGACAGACAGAGAGACAAAAAGAAGAGACAGATAGAGAGATAAAAAGAAGAGACAGAGACACATGAATAAGAGAGAGGTAGAGAAAGGAGACAGAGAGTAAAAAGAGACAAAGAGAGGAGACAGAGACACAGAGAGAGGAGACAGAGAGACAGAACTAAGAGACAAACCGCCAAGCAGAGGGCCTCTAATACAGACTGCTGAAGCATTGTTTCTGCTGCTGCTGCTGCTACTGCTGCTGCTGCTGCAGCATAGCAGCAGCACACTAACCCTGCTGCAGCTTAGCAGCAGCACACTAACCCTGCTGCAGCTTAGCAGCAACAGCAGCAGCACACTAACCCTGCTGCAGCATTTAGTGTCTCTTCAACCCTCTTTTCTTGTCTTTGTTCTGTCCTCGACGGAGACAACTAAAATAATTGTTTAAATTCACCTGTCTCTTCAAGCAATTAAAATATAAATGAGGGGAGGCGCGTAGACCCCTTAATTAGCCTAGGCTTACTAAAACCGAAGCTGCAGCAGCAGCAGCAGCAACGGCAGCAGGAGCAGCAACAGCAGCAGCTCAAGCTGCTGCTGTTGCTGCTCCTGTCGCAGCTGAGGTGCTGCAGATGATGCAATGCTGTTAGTATACCAAATGATGCTGTTGCTGCATTAGCTGGTGCGGCTGCTGCTGCAGCAGGTGCTGGTGGTGCTGCAGCTGCTGGTGGTGCTGCAGCTGCTGTTGCTGCAGCAGGTGCTGGTGGTGGTGCTGCTGCTGCAGTGCAGCAGCTATCTTGTCGGGTTGCTGAGGCCCTTCTTTGGGGACCTCAAGCTGACTATACACCTGAACGACAACGGAGGGTGTAGCGAACATCTTCTCCTCTCTAAATTTTTCTACTTCCCCGACTTTGATCTTCCTGCAGAGACAATTAAATAAATAAAAATAATAAAGATACTTATTTGTTGTTTTGTTGCTTTGTTGATATTGATATAGATACAGATATAGATATAGATATATAGACATAGATATAGATATAGATATAGACATAGATATAGATATAGATATAGATATAGATATAGATATAGATACAGATATAGATATAGATACAGATATAGATATAGATATAGATATAGATATAGATATATAGACGTAGATATAGGTACAGATATATATAGATAAATAGATATATAGATATGGATATAGATATAGCTAGAGATAGACACTCGGGAGAAAGCTGCGCTGCTGCTGTTTCTCCTGCTGCTGTTTCTCCTCCTGCTGCTGTTGCTGCTGTTGTTGCTGTTGCTGCTGCTGCTGCTGGGTTAATGCATCTTTGTGGGTGTTTGTATCTCACTGAATATGCTCCTTCATAAGGTCGCGGAGATTGAAGAGATATTGTCTTCTCCTAATTTGAGTAATATTAAGAGAGAAGTCTTCAAGGAGACACTTTGGCTTTCTACTCCAAAAGGAGACAGCTCCTTCTTTAAGTTCATTGAGCTGCTGTTCTTGCATGCGGTGTCTCCTGTACTGCATTAGAAATGCTTCAAATCTCTGCTGTATATACACCGGATCGAAGCTAGAGGAGACAGAAAAAATAAAATATAACAACCCTCCTAATCTAAGTGTCCCCATATGTGGATTATAGCCTAACTGTTCGTCTGTTCTTATAACATTAAAAAAGCTCTGAGACATTTCTCTTGTTGTTAGATATGTTAAAGCTTTCTCCTCTAGCCTTTCTACAGGCCCAACCTAAACGCATGCATATTAGGCACACGCACACACACATGCACATGCAGTCTTCCTGCTGCTGCTGCTGCTGCTGTTGTTGTTGCTCTTGCTGCTGTTGTTGTTGTTGCTGCTGCTGCTGCGGCTGATTCGTGTTTCTGGGTTTCCTGGTTAATGTTTTTGTGTCTCCTTTTGTGTCTTTATGTGTCTCCTTTTGTGTCTTTATGTGTCTCCTTTTGTGTCTCTATGTGTCTCCTTTTGTGTCTTTATATGTCTCCTTTTGCTTACCTCAATAACAAAGAGGTTGTGGTTCTTAGGATCGAAGGGGTTGCTGTTAAGGCGTAAGAGTTTAAGTCTCCTCGGGTGTCTCTGTGTCTCCTCTACTGTCTCCTGCACAACGTAGTCTTTATCTGTCTTCTTTGTAATATAAACCCCCTCTGTCTCCTTTCTTGTCTCCTTCTCTGTCTCTTTATCTGTCTCCTTTTGTGGGTATTGTACGTCCTCTGTCTCCTTTTGTGCTGCTCCCTGCTGCTGCATGTCTGGTGTCTCTGTCTCTTCTGTCTCCTCCTCCTCCTGCTGCTGCTGCTGCTGCTGCTGTTGCTTGCTTTGTATTCTTCTTATTGGCGCGCTGCGGGTTAATAAGGAGACACGAGAAGGGCCCTCAGGCTTAAAGCTGCTGAGGCTCTCTAAAGGAGACACTTTAACCTCCGCCTCAGCTGTCTCCGCATCAATTGTGCGGTGTATAGGCAGCGCAGATATAACAGAAGACAGCAGCGAAGAAGCAGCAGAAGCCTTCAGGTCTCCCTATAACATAAAACACAAGATAAGACCTCAGTAATAGAATTAAACATAGAGCAACAGCAGCAGCAGCAAGAGCATGCAGCACTGCAGCAGCAGCAGCAGCACAAGCAGCAATATGTGCTGCAGCATTTGCTGCAGCATTTGCTGCGGGGGCAGGATGGTCACTAGGGCTTCTACAGCAGGAGCATCTCTCTAGTCCTCTCACGATATTACAAGGGAGCCCTTCTCTCAGCTAGCTAGCTAGCTTTCTATCTAGCTAGCTAGCTAGCTAGCTGGTGTTGTGCAGCTAGCTAGGTTCTGACCTGTATAAGTCCCTCTATGTGGACCTCGCCCCACACTCGCTGTCCCCAGAGAACGACATCTTCGTAGAGACTGTCTCTCCAGTGTTGGTGGCGTTGCTCTGTCTCCTTTTGCTTCTCTGTCTCTGTCTCTGTCTCTGTCTCTGCATCTGTTTCTGTGTCTGTCTCTTGCTGCTGTGTCTCTGTCTCCTTCTCTGTCTCCTTCTCTGTCTTCTTGTCGGTTCTTGTCTTTGCTTGGGCTTGTGCTTTGTTCAGGTGGTGCTGTTTAAGTGTCTCTATGCCTTTTAATATTTGCTGCGGAGAGAAGAAGGGAGAGGAGACAAAGCGACGCAAGGTGTCTCCAGCTTGTGCTGCTGGTGTTCTATGTGCAGCAGCAACTTTTGCTGCTGTCTCCAGCCCCTCCCAAGCTGGCTTCAGTAAGGCCCGCTGTAAGAAGGGATTCAAGGGACACCTCGACCCTCCCCTTTTGCTGCTGCTGCTGCTGCTGCTGCTGTCGTTGCTGCTGCTACTGCTGCTGCTGTCGTTGTTGCTGGTGGTGGTGCTGCTACTGTCATTGCTGCTGCTGCTGCTGCTGCTGTCTGCTTCTTGCTGCTGGCCTAGACACTCTGCAACCTCTACCAGAACTGCAGATACACCTGGGGAGAAGCCAAACGCATGCAGCCCCAAAGCAAAGGGCCTCACGCTGCCCGCTACGTCAACTCCAGCACCAAGAGACACCGCAACGCCTGCTCTTGCAGCACTATCAAAGGCCTGAGGAGACAAAGGAGACACACAGAACAAATAAAGGAGACACTCGCTACACCAAAGCTGCACCAGCTACAGGCCGGCTGCAGCACCAGTAGCAACAGCAGCAGCAACTCCAGCAGCAGCAGCAACTCCAGCAGCAGCAGCAAGTGCAGCAGCAGCAAGTGCAGTAGCATTCATGCATGCAGGGAGAAGAAGAGGTACCTCAGTTATAGATAGGCTTGCTAGCCGCACGTAGAGAAGGGTGAGGATGTATTGTTGCAGGCTGCTGTCTGTTGCAGCGCTGTCTCCTGTAGCAGCAGCAGCTGCTTCTGCTGCTGCTGTTCGCGGAAAGATGCTGCTGTCTCCTTTGTTGGGTTTAAAATAGAAGCTAAGAGACACCGCAGTCTTGGGTACGTTAAACTGAGTGTCTCCTTTGTAGAAGACATTGCAGCGAGGGGAGGGGCCTGTCTCTTCACAGAGGTGACCCTGTCCATACACCAGACGTGTGGGGTGTACAGGCAGCAGCAGCAACTGATGCTGGTGCAGCTGCAGGATGCTGCTAAGGTAGGGATTAGGAGGAGGAAGAGATAGTTCATGCTGCTGCATTGCTGCAGAGACACTGTCTTTGTCTAGCTGGGAGAGGTGTCTCCATTGTGTAAGAAGTGTCTCCTTTAAAGGCTGTCTCTTATACATAATATTATAACGCGGTTCTGTCTCTACCTCTGTCTCTGTCGTCTCTTCTGTCTCTTTCTTTTCTATTTCTCTGTTCCTATCTAGAAGAAACACACGTAAATTATCAGGAGTAATATAATGCTCTATCAAGGAGACAATTAAAGACTCATCAAAAACATATAAACTAGAAGGCCCCGCCAACACTTCGTGAGGAGGGTAGTAGTGCAACGCTGAAAAAAAAGGAGACACCAGACAAAGGAGACACAAAAAGGAGACACCTCAAGTGCATGCAATATAAATATATATATAATATATATAATAAACCATAAAACCCTAAACGCTACACCCATCGCTGCTGCTGCTGTTGCTGCTGCTGCTGCTGATGCTACTTATGCTGCTACTTGTGGCGCTGCTCCTCCTGGCTGCGATGTTTCTGCGTGTCCTGCTGCCGCTATTTCTGCTGTTGCTGCTGCTCTTGCTGCTGCTGCTGCTCCTAGTGCTGCTGCTGCTGCGGCGGCGGCTGCTGCTGCTGCTGCTGCTGCTTACCCTCTGCTACATCTTGAGTGAGGTCGTAAGCATCGGGAACATCTGCAAACAAAAACTCTTGACGGCGAAGTGCAGCGAGCTCAGCATATCGCCACGCCTGCACTCCAAAGTGACGGATGGCCCTGCGCATACACCCCAAACCCTAAACCCTAAACCCTAAACCCTTAAACCCTGAACCCTAAACCCTTAAACCTAAGGACTTGCGATTCCCTAGGTGAATGCAGAATCAGAGACCGTGGCATTCTCGAGATTAACAGCGTTTGTCTGCCGCCCCATCGTAAACCCTAAACCCTAAACCCTAAACCCTAAACCCTAAACCCTAGGTGGTTAGGGAGGGAGTGGTCTTGAATAGGGTTTAGGGTTTGAGGTGTCTCTGACCTCAAGTAAAGAAAGAAGAGGCTTCCAATGAGGGCGATGGAGTCATCCTTAGCCCCTTCTTCTGTTAGCATGAAGCAAACCTGAAGCAAAAACGAATGCAGCAGCAGCAGCAAACAGTCTGCAGCAGCACCAGAATATATAGCAGCAACAGCAAACACACCACCAGCATCTGCTGCTGCTGCTGCTGCATCTGCTGCAGAACAGAGACCTCAACAGTCCCCGATATGGCGATGCTGCCCCCCGTGCTGTTGCAGCAGCAGCAGCAACAGCAACAAAACCAGTAGCAACAGCAGCAACAACAAAACCAGCAGCAGCACCAGCAGGAAGGAGAGCCATAGCAGCAGCAGAATTCAGAAGGGCAGCATCAGCAGCAGCAGCAGCAGCAGCATAACCTGCTGCTGGTGCTGCTTGGTGTATGTTTGATGTCTGTTACCTCTAGCAATGTGCAGTACTGTGGCGATGTCTCCTCAACGGAGACAGCAGTAATAAGCCCAAGCCTCTTGAGTTTGCTGCTGAGTGCATTCGGTGAATGCAGCTTTAAAAGATATTTTATAAACACCAGAGGCTTCACACGCCAAGCATACTGCTGCGGGGGGACAGCAAAAATCAAGCGGAGCTCTCGTAAGGCCGACTGAGGGTGCAGCACTGTCTGCATTCATACATACACACAGAGACAGAGAGACAGAGACAGACACAGAAAGAATATGCATATATATGTATATATATATATACAGAGAGAGAGAGAGATAAAGAAAGAGTATATAACTATATACACACACAAAGAGAGAGAAAGAGACAAACAAAAAGAAAGAAAGAAAAATATATAAATATATCAATATATAAATATATATATAGAGAGAGACAAACAAAGATAAAGAAAGAAAGAGTATAGACTCATGCATGCATCCATATATGCATGCATGCAGAGAGAGGATGAACAGACAAACAAACAAACAAACAAACAAGCAAACAAATACGCATGCATGCATGGATTGCATGCATGCGGGCTGCTGCAGGGGAGTTTGAGGTGTACAGACACCTGAGCAGTGGGGATGTTCATCTGCATGCAGTTTGTTAGCTTAAAGAAGAACTAGGGTTTCCCCTACACGCTAAACCCTAAACCCTAAACCCTAAACCCTAAACCCTCGTGGCCACCCCTTCATCCTTCTCCCCTCTCTACAAAACCCTAAAAGCCCTTATACCCTAACCCCTAAGAACCCATAAACCCTAGCAACTAACTAACCCCAAAGAGCCCCTAAACCCTAAACTGTAAACCCTAAACCCTAAACCCTAAACCGTGGGGTGTACTGACGAGAGTTTTGAGCTCTTGAGGTGCGAACGGCTGATAAGAAAGCGAGCATTCGTTAAATTGCGGTTTAGGGGTCTCATTGTTAGGGATGCGAGAGAAGAAGGAGACAGCGAGATTCTGCAGCTCGTCTAAAGTCTCTCTTCCTACGATAACGGCAGTCATTAGGTTGCTGGAGTACCTACAAACAAAGACAGAAAAAAAAGAAACAAACGATATGCAATGCAGTGTACGTACGTACTGCATGCATGCATCAATGATATATCGAGATAGAGGCAGCAGCGTAAAAGGAGAGCTGCTGCTGCAGTCAGACAGCGAGATAAACTTGAAGGAGACAGATAGAAAGGAGACAGAGAAGAGACAAACAAAACCCAAAGTACAACGGAGACAAACGAAAAGCAAACAGAGAGACAGTGAACAAAAAGGAGACAAAGAGAAGAGACCCAAGCCCCAGAATACAGGCTGAAGCGTTGCCTGCTGAGGGTTTAGGGCTAGGGCTTAGGGTTTAGGGTGAAAGGTCTAGGGTTTAGTGCTTAAAAGTAGAGAGCAGCGTTTAGTATTAAGGTATAGGGTTTTGGATTAGGGTTTATGGTGTGGGCTTAGGGTTAAGGATGAGGATGTAGTGGTTAGGATGAGGGTTTAGGGTTTAGGCCTAGGGTTTAGGGTTTCAGCTTAAAGAGGATCATGAGGGTTTTTAAGGTTTTGAATTATGGTTTCTAGTATAGCGTGTACGACTTTGGGGTTTCGGTTTAGGGTTTAGGGTTTCAAATTAGGGTTTAGGGTTTACGATTTAGGGCTTCAAACTAGAGTTTAGGGTTTAGGGTTTCGAATTAGGGTTTAGGGTTTAGGGTTTAGGGTTTAGGGTTTAGGGTTACCACTTGGCGTGAAACCTTTTCATTTCTTCAACGAAGTCAATTCCCTTCGCCTTGGGCTCCCTCACTAAACTGTCTAAATTTCCGACCGAAAAATTCGAAAAGGGCGTATTCAGCTTGCTCTGTACACCCCAAACCCTAAACCCTAAACCCTAAACCCTAAACCCTAAACCCTAAACCCTAAACCCTAAACCTTAAACCGTAGATTTGGGAGCTTCAATTCTAATCCCTAGACCCAAGATAATAAGAAGACGCTGAAAGCAGGTTTGAACCATTGTAGGGTTTGAAGAAACACTCCCTAAACCCTAAACCCTAAACCCTAAACCCTAAACCCTAAGTTTGGGGTGTACCTGTCTGATGAGATGTGCGGTTCGAATATCATCACTTGTATATCGTAGTAGATATTCTGCATGCACTGCATGCACTTCCTTCCGACTGTCTTTAGGTTTGAACTGAGGGTTAATAAGTATATCAGAGACACGTTCTAGTGCTGCAGCAAGATACTGAGGAGACAATGAGAAGGAGACAACTGTAGAGTATTTGCTGGTGTATGCATTTGCTTGCCCTCCGTGTATATGAATAAAATTAAAAAAAGAATAGCCTCCTTTATGATGCACTGAGCCTTGAAATAGCATATGCTCAGTTAGATGTGCTAAGCCTTGTAATGACCTGGGATCGGAGACAGACCCGATCCCAATGCGAAGAGACACCGCAGCTTCTTCGCAATTCTTCTCATGCACAAGCATAACCTGCATTTTATTAGGCAGTAGCACCTCACGATACACCCGGCGATCTGATAGAGACACCTCAACTGTACGTACACCGCAAAGACACACACACACACACACATATATATATATATATATATATAATACGCTTATATCAGTACAACCAAATAAAGATAAGTATATATAAATATAAATATAAAAAATTATAAATGTACAAGCATATAAAAATAAAAATATTTACATCTGTAGGGAGACCCAGGCAGATATTAGGAGGGAACACAAAGCAGCAGAAGCAGCAGCAGCAGCAGCAGCAGCATACACTGCAGCAGCAGCAGAAGCAGCGGCAGCGGCATAAATTAAAGCAGCAACTGTAGCAGAAGCATACACTGTAGAAGCAGCAGAAGCAGCAACACAACACACTAGACAAGCAGCAGCAGCAGCAGCAGCAGCAACGCAACACACTAAGGCAGGAGAAGCAGCAGCCATGGGGTAATCTGAAGAAGCAGGAGCAGTAGCAATCCGATACACTCCAGCAGCAGCAGCAGCAATATGATACACAGAAGCAGCAGCAGAAGCAGCAGCAGCAATATGATACACACGAGAAGCAGCAGGAGCAGGAGCAGGAGCAGCATTAAGACAAGCAAAATAAGCAGAAGAAGCTGCAGCAGCAGCAGCATTGAGACAAGCAAACGGAGCAGCAGCAGCAGCATTAAGACAAGCAAACGAAGCAGCAGCAGCAGCAGCAGCTGCAGCAGCTGCTGCTGCTGCTGTCTCTAAAAAAAACCCTTACTGTCTTCAGTCGCCTTCACCTCTGGGGCGGCATCGCGCGGGGCTGCAGTTAGTACTGCAGCGCATGCATTATAGAAGTTATGAAGCAGCAACAGGAGAAGGAAGCAGACTAGCCGCTGCTGCTGCTGGTGCTGCTGCATTTTGGTGCTGGTGCTGCGCTGCTGCTGCTGCAGCGGCGGCGATGTGCTGCTGCTGCTGTCCCCTGAGGCTGCTGCATGCCTCCCGCTGGCAGCAGCAAAACCCAGCTAGCAGCAACAAGCAGCAACAGAGAGCAGCAGCTAGCTGTAGCTAGCTGCAGCTAGCTTCTAAAGGAAGACAAGAAGAGTGGACGCAGCGAACTCAAGCCAGAGAGGCCTCAAACCGAGGTCGGCTCGTCGGCAGCAGCAGCAGCAGCAGCAGCAGCAGGTTGGATGTCCCTTGTATTAAAAACAAATACAAGAGATAAAAACATTAATATGCTGTCTCCTTCTATTTCTAATAATATAATAATAACGACAAGCAGCAGCAGCAGCAGCAGCAGCATCGGCTCCGACCAGGCCCAGCGGCCTGCTGCTGCTGCTACTACTACTACTGCTGCTGCTGCTGCTGCTGCTGCTGCTGCTGCTGCTGCTGCACGTACTAGCGGAGCGAGCCCCACCCCACACACCTGAGAGAAGAGAAGAACTTCTTCTGACGTCTTCTTATTTTCTTTTCTAATAAATCAACAAAGCATTAATATACTTTATTTTTAGTGTTTAGAGGCCTCTCTGTCGGCGCAGCCGCAGCGAATCGCCAGCAGCAGCAGCAGCCGCAGCAGCAGCAGCAGCCGCAGCAGCAGCAACGGAACTATGCTGGCCAGTACTCCGGCATAATAGAGACATTTTACACCTTCTCTTTTCGTCATTTAGCTCTTTCTTCATTTTTTATGCTGTGCTATTGCTCTCTACTGTTGCTACAGCAGCAGCAGCAGCAACAACAGCAGCAGCAGCAGCAGGTTCTGGGGCTTGGGGCCCCCAAAGCATTCTCGCTCTTCCCTATCCTCTTCTTTCTTTTCTTTATTAAAAGAAGTTATTACCAGCTGAAGGCTGAATAGGATCTCCGGCAGCAGCAGTAGCAAGAAAGCTGCAGCAGCAGCAGCAGCAGCAGCAGCAGCGGCAGGAGCGGCAGGTGCCGCAGCAGCAGCAGCAGCAGCAGCATCAGCCGCCGCTAGACTATCGCCAGAACTGGCAGTAATAGAAGCAATAGCAGCAGCAACAACAACAATTTCAGCAAGGCAGCAGCAGCAGGAGCTTCAAGCAGATGGACGGGTGCATGCAGTGAGGCAATGATGTCCTGGTGGGGTGCTGCACCAGCAGCAGCAGCAGCAGCAGTAGCAGCAGCAGCAGCAGGGTTGCCGCTGCGTGCTCTCGCGCATGCATCTCATGCCGAAGGCGAGGAACAGCACCATGTACACCGGCTTCTGCAGCAGGATCCGCTGCAGCGGCAGCAGCAGCAGCAGCACGATGTGGGGGAGGAGCAGCAGCACGAATTTCCTGTCTGGGCTTCAAAGCTGTTTGCTGTTTGTGTGCTGACAGCAGTCTCAGCAGGAGGGGCTGTTCTTCCTTTCTATCTGCAGCGCAAGGCAGCAGCAAACTCGCAGCAGCAGCAGCAGCAGGGAGGTCGCCGCAACTGCAGCAGGAAAAGGACGTGGATCCAGGTTATGCTGGTGTTTCTTAATTGCTTTGCATGCGGTATGCCCCTCTGCTTTTTGCTGCTGCTGCTGCAGCTGCTGCTGCTGTTGTGTTTGTTTTCCTTGCTGCTGTCTTCCTTGTAGATGCTGCTGCTGCGTCCGTTCCTGCTGCTGCTGCTGCTACAGCTGCTGCTGCTGAGGGGGATACCAAGTGGGTAGATGATGTCAGGGATGTGCATTTAGATTTGCTGCTGCTGCTGCTGCTTTGTTTCTGCTGCTGTTCTTGCTGCAGGAGCTTTTCTGGGTTTGGGTTTGCTGCATTTGCTGCCAGAGGCAGTTGCGCAGCTAGAAACGTCTGGGGTGTCTATGCAGCTGCAGCACGGAGACCATCAGCACCCTTATAATGCTGCTTACGTTCTTGCTGCAGCAGGGCTGACGTTTATGCTTTTCTTTGAACAAATCTGGGGACAGTCGCACTCACGTACGCTGCTGCTGCTGCTGTTGCTATTGCTGCTGCTGCTGCTGTTGCTACTGCTTTCCGGGCGATTGCTGCTGCTGTGTCAGTCGGTGCTGCTGCAGCTGCCGTTGCTGTAGTTGCTGCTGTTGCTGCTGCTGTTGCTGCTGCAGATGGTCATCACGACAGCGAGACTTGTTCCGACTCTAGCTCTGTTGGTGCTGACGGGGAAGCAGCAGCAGCAGCAGCAGCAGCATTGCCTCACCCAGCACATTTGCATGCGCAGCAGCACGGCTCCTGCAGCGAAGCAGCTTATTGCCCTGAATGTGAAGATTGTGTTGAAGCACATACTGCAGCAAATGAACAAGATATAGGCTGTCCTCAGCGTGCTGCTGCTGCTGTTGCTGCTGCTGCGACAGCGGCGGCGGCTGGAGGCGCGAAGAGCGAGAAGAAAGACCCGGCGCAGCAGCAGCAGCAGCAGCAGCTTGCAGCTTCCAAGGGAGACGGGCAACTCCCTCTTGCTGCTGCTGCAGCAACAAAGCTGTCAGCTGTAGCCCCTGCAGCAGAGACAGGGCGCCGCCACAGCAGCAGCAGCAGCAGGAGAGGATCTCCTTGCGAATCTGGCTGCGGAGGCCCAGCAGCAGCAGCTGCTGCTGCTTCAGGACAGCGAGGCTGCAGCAGCAGCAGCTGCTGCAGCAGCAAAGGCAATGCATGCGAAGGCGTGGGGCGGGTCTGCTGCTCCCTGTCTCACTCTCCTACATCAGACCTGCGCGTACACTGCGGCCTCACAGGAGATAACTGCCAGGTTATAACACGCTGCTGTTGCTGCTGCTGCTGTTGCTGCTGCTGCTGTTGCCGCTGCTGCTGCAGAACACGGTGCTGCTGCAGCGACTGACGAGGTGTTGCTGCTTCTCGTGCTATTGCTGCTGCTCGCAGTTTCACGCTCGCAGACTTTGCTGTTGCTGCTACTGTTGCTGCTGCTGCTGCTGCTGCTGGTGTTCGCAGGGAGGAGACAATGGGCCTTCGGGGAGAGGCAATTTTGTTGCTGCTTCACCTCTAGACAGTATGTCTCGCTGATGCTGCTGCTGCTGCTGCTTGCTGCTGCTGTTACCGTCTTGGTTGTGATGTTGCTGCTCTTTGGCTGCTGCCGCTAACATACTGCTTCTGCTGCTGATGTGTTGCTGCTGCTGCTGCTGCTTATTCTTTCGTGACGGCGTTGCTTCTTTTTGCTGCTGCTGCTCATATTTTGTTGCTGCTGCTGCTGTTTGTGGCCGCAGACCAAACTTGTTCTGATGAAGCACATCTGCTGCACAAGCTGCAGCAGCAGCAGCAGCATCAGCAGCAGCACGGGCGCGCAGCAGCAAGAGGAGGGTCAAAGGTGCCTCTTGCTGCTGCACTGGGGACACATGCATTTCTCGAAGGTAAATTTGCGGTGTATGCGCAGCTGCTGCAGTGTATGCGCAGCTGCTGCGGTGTACATACACCTGCTGGGGTGTATATGCAGGTGCTGCATGAGGCCTTGTCTCTTTTTGTCTGCTGTTCGCATCTCTTGTGTCTCCTTTTTAATCTTCTTTTGCTGTTGCTGAAGGAGACAGAAACCCCAGCAGCAGCATTCTCTGTTCTCTTATAGTGCAGCACTTGTGCAGTGCATGCAGCAGCAGCAGCTGCTGCTGCTGCGTGTCTGCTATAGCACTTGTGTCTCCTTTGTCTCTGCTGTCTCCTTTGTCTCTCGTCTGTCTCCTTTGTCTCTTAGCGCACAAATCTTTTTTCTTGCGATTTATCTTTGTCTGTTTCTTTTATCAGTGTTTGGGGTGTCTGTGGAGGTGGAATTAATATGCGGTATCCCTAAACCCTAAACCCTAAACCCTAAGCCCTAAACCTTTTTCCTGTTTCTCCTGCTGCTGCTGCTGCCTTTGCTGCTGCTGCTGTTGCTGCTGCTGCTGTTGTTGAGTGCAGCAATAGTAGTGGGTATGACTCGCAGCAACGGAGATGTATGGATAGCAGCTTTAGCTGTCTTAGGACACAAGGGTGCAGAGGCGGTAGCTCTCTCTTCTGCATTTGCGAAGGCACGAGCTGTACGTACACCTCAACAACGTAATGAATGGGGTGCATGCATGCATGCATGTATGCATGCATGCATGCATACAGTGTCTCCTTTTGTTGCTCTTCTGTCTCCTTTTATCTATTTCTGTCTCCTTTTGTCTCCTTAAGTATCTTTGTGTCTCCTTTTTTCTCTCTTTGCCTTCCCAAGTATTTATCTGTCTCTCTGTGTGTCTCTTAGTTTCTGTCTGTCTCTATTTGTCTCTGTCTGTCTGCTCTTGTCTCTGTCTGTCTGCTTTCATATCTATCTGTCTCCTTTTGTCTTTGCTTTTGCTGCAGCCTCGCTGGTTGGTGTTTGTTTGTCTCGGTGCGTTTCTATCAACAACTCCTTTGGGGGTTCTCTTAGGCGCCTGCATTGCACAAGGAGGTGAGGCGTCTCTTCATTGTCTCCTTTTATCTCTTTTTCTGTCTCTTTGTTTCTTTTGATGTCTCCTTTGTCTCTCTTCCCATGTCGCTTTGCGTCTCTGTCTGTCTCCTTTTGTCTCTGTCTGTCCCTTTTTGTCTCTGTCTGTCTCCTTTTGTCTCGTCTGTATCCTTGTGCCGTCTCTGTCTTTTTCTGTCTCCTTTTGCTGTCTTTGTCTGTCTCTGTCTGTCTCTGTCTGTCTCCCTCTGTCTCTCGCTGTCTCCTTTTGCTGTCTCTTTCTGTCTCTGTCCGTCTCCCTCTGTCTCTCGCTGTCCCCTTTTGCTGTCTCTTCACCTGTCTCTGTCTGTCTCCTTTTGCTGTCTCTTCACCTGTCTCCGTCTGTCTCCTTTTGCTGTGTCTGTCTCTGTCTTTGTCTTATCCGCCTTTGTCTCTTTCTGTGTCTCTGCACTGTCTCTGTCTCTTCACCTGTCTCCTTACCTGTCTCCTTTTGTCTCTCTTAGTCTCTTTCTGTCTCTTTGTGTGTCTCCTTTTGTATATAAAGTGTCTCCTTTTGTCTCCTTTAAATGTTTTGTGTCTGCTGCTGCTGTTGCTGCTGCTGCTGCAGGATCTGCTGCTGCTGGAGTGTTGAACGCACTGGCGGTGGGGGTGATTCTGTATGCATGCATTGAGGTGAGTATGTAATAAAGATCCTGAGGGTTTAGGGTTTAGGGTTTAGGGTTTGTGATGTGAGGGTTTATTAGGGTATATTAGAGTTGTTTCTTCGTCATGCTTTGCTTATGAGGGTTTGCTTACTAGATTTTATTAGGGTTTATTAGGGTTTATTAGGGTTTATTAGGGTTTATTAGGGTTTATTAGGGTTTATTAGGGTTTAGGGTTTATCAGGGTTTGTTTATTAGGGTTGGTGCATTAGGGTGTATAGGATTATTTATTAGGGTTTTTCACGAGGGTTTCTGTTTGCTATTTCTGCTTCATAGACTTTATAATTTTTGCGTGTTTATGTGCTGCTGCTGCTGCTGCTGCTGCTGCTGCTGCTGCTGCAGATGTTGTCTGAGTTTGAGGCGAAGGCCCCGCTGCGGCATCGTCTGCTGCGTTGTTTTGCGTTTTTATTTGGTTTGGGGCTGCTGTTTAGTTTAGACCTGCTGCATGCACCTGTCTGTCAGCAGCACAGTCATACTCACGACCACCACCATCATAAGCTTCATATACATCCTCCTGCTGCTGCTGCTGCTGTTCCTGCTGCTGCTGGGGTGGAGGAGCAGCAGCAGGAGAGGGGTGCGCATCAGCAGCCTAGAGATGCTTATAATACAAACATTCATACTCATCAACCGTCTTCGCAGCCCTTACTGCAGCAGCAGCAAACGCCTCAGCAGCAGCAGCACACCCAACCGCATGCCTCAACTGCCGCTGCGACGCCATCCAATAACAGCAGCAGCAGCAGCAGCAGCAGCAGCAGCAGCAGCAGCGGCTTGCGGGGGGCGTCTCCTCCTCCGGCTCTTCGTTGAGGAGAGGGCGCCATGGAGTCTGTCTTTAGTGTCTAGCCAGCTAGCTAGCTAGCTACTTAGTTAGCTAGCTAGCTAGTTATGCATTTCATAGCAACCAGAGGGTCATTCATACTACTGGGATCGGGCGATCCCCTGCAACACTTCTACTTCGTGGGAGATAGATAGCGCAGCGTATTGCTGCTGCAGCTGCTACTGCTACTGCTGCTGCTGCTGCTGCTGCTGCAGCTGCTACTGCTGTGAAGGCGTCTTCTCTTCTCTTACTACCGACAGCCCTCGAACAAGCTGCCTTCTAGAGGGATTGGGTAGCTGCTGCTGCAGCTGCTGCAGCAGCTGCAGCAGCTGCAGCAGCAGCACCAGCCGACTTACCCTTGCCATCACCACACCAACAACAACAGCAGCAGCAGCAGCAGCAGCAGAGCTGCTGCACGAGGCCCCTAGCATTTTGTTTTTTCAGTCCGCCTCTAGCAGCAGCACGTTGGGGCCCTTTCTGTTTGTTGCTGATTGGTGGCTGCGCCGCCAGTCGCATAGAAACAAACTACAATAGCTAGCTAGCTAGCTAGCTAGCTAGCTAAGTAGAGCTAGCTAGCTATCTAGCTAGCTATCTAGCTAGCTATAGCCCCCGCCTTTGCCGGTCTCGGCACTGCGAATAGTGAAGGAGGTGTCGGGGTCTTCGGGACTATTTAATAATATCAAACTTATTTATTACTTCTATTAGAGTCATTGCTACTGTCGCTAGTTAGCTGTTGCTGTTGCTGCAGCAGCTGCTACTGTTGCTGCAGCAGCCGCTACTGTTGCTACAGCACCTGCTACTGTTGCTGCAGCATCTGCTACTGTTGCAACAGCAGCTGCAACTGTTACTGCTGCAGCTGCTGCTATAGCAGCCGTTACTGTTGCTTCACCAGTTGCTGCTGTTGCTACAGCAGCTGCTACTGTTGCTGCAGCAGCTGTTCTCAGCTTGGTAGGAAGGCGCTAGGGTGTCTGCGCACCTCTGAGGTGTCTCCCTAACTGTGCGTCTGCTGTCTCCTTGTGTCTAAATCCCTAAACATATTACTTTACTTCTGTCGATGTTTGGGTTTGTTTGCAGCCCCCCCACTGCTGCTGCTGCTGCTGCAGCACGTTCCTGCTGCTGCTGCTGCAGCAGCAGGGAATTCCTCCTGCTGCTGCAGCTGCAGCAGGAAGTTTGTCTTGCTGCTTGCTGCTGCAGCAGGGAGTGTGTACTGCTGCTGCTGCTTGTGCTGCAGCAGCTGCAGCAGCTGCAGCAGAACGGACATCTGGCGGAAGCAAGTAGACAGGGTATTATATTAAGTTTGCGTTTGTCTTCGTTTAAGAGGGGTTATGAAATTAAAGATAAGCTAAAGCTTGAGGAGACAGCAAAGAGACAGGCGTCTCCTTTTCGTCTCCTTTTCCGTGCACTGTATATGCTACTCACACACCAGTAAAAAGATATATTTAATATTTATTATATTTCTAACTATATATTTATTTTCAGATTAAAACGCATGCATTTATTTGTTATTTTTGCTGCTCCTCCTCTGTGTGCTACGTAGTACGAGTGCTGCGATTTGCCTTAAGACAAGAAACAAAAGAGACAGCTGAAGAGACACAAAACAGCTGTCTCCTTTTCTTATGTACAGCCAAGACCTCCCTCACAGGTATGTCATAGTGCCTGCTGCAGCAAACTCGCAAGCAAACAAACAGAGACAAACAAAGTAGAGACACACACGTAGCACTAGCTAGCTAGATAGCTGCGCATATAGCTAGCTGCCCATCCATCTAACTGTGTAGCTAGCTAGCTCTGCGGCTAGCTAGCCAGCTAGCTACACAACTAGCTACACCCACAGCTAGCTGACTACCCCCACAGCTACCTAGCTGCATAGGTAGATGGCTACCCCCACAGCTAGCTAGCTGCACAGGTAGCTAGCTGGCTGCACAGGTAGCTAGCTAGCTAGTTGCACAGGTAGCTAGCTAGCTAGCTAGCTGCACAGGTAGCTATTGAGGGGCTGGTTTGAGTGTAGGTTGTGGGGCGTACCTGTCATCCACTGAGCGAACTCCCTTTCATTGATAGCGCTCTTTTGATGCTCATCTAATGCATTATAAATAATGCCGAGGTCTGTCAAACTAAACTGAAGCCTGCCTTTAGTAAAGTCCGCAGACATTCTGTTAAACTCTTCAAGCTGTAAACCGTGACCAGGGTCTGAGATAGCATACTTTGAGTAGACATCAATAAACTGCCCCTTAGAAGATAAGAGAATGCTTCTTCTTACTTTCTCTAGACGCAGACTCTTTCTTGCTGCGATTAACAGCCCTGCTGCTGCAGCAAGAGATACAAAAGCAGCAGCAGCACTAGCTGCTATCAATCCTAGTCCGCTTCGAGACGCTGGAGTTAATACACAAGATAATAGACAGCCTAAAAATAATATAAATAAACTCTTCATTGTTAGACGAGATAAGAAACGAAAGTATAATCTGATTGTATTGCGATATCTTGCTGCCCAGCGAGGGCTGCCAGGCATATCTACTAGCATCAGTAGAAACGCAAACACCCTGCAAACAAACAAAATAAAACAACTTTAAATAATAATAAATATAAATATAAATATAAATATATATTTAATAATATTTATTTACTCTACCAGGTAAAAAACACAAAAAAAAACATATCTAACAAGCGCAGCAGCAGCAGCAAATACCCTATAAAACAAATAATAAGCAGTATATTAAAATAAATAAAGATAAATACAAACAAATGTACATAAATAAAGATAAAGATAAATAAATATAATTAAATTATATATCCTGGTTTATTAGTAATTAGTTTAAACAGAAAGAGACAGACAAAAGGAGACAGACAGACAGCATATCGATGAGCCAGGCAAACAAAAACAAATAAAGAGACAGACAGAACAACTAAATAAATAAATATATAAATATATAAATAAATAAATAGATAAATAAATAAATAAACAGATAAATATATTAATAAATAAATGTATAAATAAATAAATAAATAATACATAAAGTGTATAAACAAACAAAAAACAACAGAGATCTGCATGCATATCGAACCACCGTAAGATGAATGATAAGAAGCAGCAGCAGCAGCAGCATGTGCAGCAGCAGCATGTGCAGTAGCAGCAGCAACACGTGCAGCAGCGCCAAAATGAACAGCAGCAGCAGCGACAAGGACACGATTAGAAGCAGCCGCAACATTAGCAGCAGCAGCAGGAAACACGAGCTAGAGCAGCAGCACGAGAAGCAGCAAGAAAATAAACAACGACAGCAGCATCTACACCAACACCAACAGCAGCAGCAGCAGCAACAGCAGCAGCAGCAGCAGAAGGATGTGTGTTATACATACACCAGGAAGATGCAGACAACGAGGGAGGCGAGATCAAATCTCGCTAAGCTGGAGAGACACCCGAAGATGCCTCCTGTAAGCACTGTAGCAGCAGCACTGAAGAAGAGGGTTTGATATTTGCAGTTCATGCGCAGCAGCACTTCTTCTAAGCGAGCTCCGCCGCTCTCTACCTGGTCTGCTAGATGTGCAGCAGACGTAGGCACAGGCGGGTAAGGAGAGGCCTCCGCACTCATCAGGCCCTGCGGATCTGCACACACAAACAGCAGCAGCAGCAGCAGCAGCAGCAGCAGCAGCAGCAGCAGCAGCAGCAGCAAGGGAGCGGAAGGTTCAATTTTTATAGATGCACTTTAGAGCGGAGTACAGAACAAGACAAGAAACACAGAGACAATCATAACCACCCATGCATAAGCCTATTGCTGCTGTTTCTGCTGCTGCAGCTGCTGCTGCTGCTGCTGCTGTAGCTGCTGCTGCTGCAGCTGCTGCCGATGCTGCTGCTGCAGCTTCTGCAGGTGGAAGGCAGCGACTCACGAAGCCTTGCCCATTCACTGCACACAGGGTACTGCATGGCCCCAAACCCTAAACCCTAAACCCTAAACCCTAAACACTAGATCTTCGCGTGGCTGCAGCCGAAGCAGCAGGGGCCCCAGCTTGCTGCAGCAGGGTGTAGGTGTTGAGTCTCTGCAGCGACTGTACGAAGTTTGTTCATGATTGAGTGTGAAAGACTTTAAAAAGGCTATATTTCTTGAAGGTTGCTGCTGCTGCTGCTGGTTTGCTGCTGCTGCTGTGCAGTGTATATACACATACCGGCCGCTGTCGAGCCGGCGGGGGGCTCGCTGTACATTTTAGTATTTGTTTAATCTCTTTAAAGAGTTTATGAGAATACTATTTAAAAAAAGAGAGACAAAAAGACTGAAAAAGCAGAAAAAAGGCCTACTTCAGCTTGCAACAGCACCTGCTGCAGCGGCTGCTGCTGCAGCAGCGGCAGCAGCAGCAGCGGCCTGCTGCTGCTGCAGCGGCTGCTGCTGTGTTGACTCCTCAGCAGCAGCAGTCGGCAGCAGTTGGTTGCTGCAGCTGCTGCAATTGAACTGAAGAAAAGCAAACTTTTTTTGTTTTTTTATACATGTTTAAATATATCATTTTTTAAGTTTATTAAACATTAATATTAACCTCCTCTGGCATACAAACAGAGCTGCCGATACACCGCAACGCCGCCCGCCTGCTGCTGTACTGCTGTTCTTCTAATATTTCTCAGTGTTTTTGCTGCTTCTTTATTCTTTCTATTATTTAAAATACATTTATTTAATTTTATTTATTTTAAAGAACCTTTGTTGTCCTCAATTCTTCTATTATTTCAGGCTAGCTGCAGCAACTGTATACGCTGTTGAGTCTCTCGCTCAGCTACAAACAAAACAGCACAGGTAGAAGATAGAGGGTGTAGTAAAGAGAAAACAAAATATAACTATAAATTATATATTATAAATTATAAATTATATATTTTTAAATGCAGCAGATTTAGTTTCGGTGAAGGAAGGGAAGCATAAACACAGCAGAAAAAATAAAAGAGTTCAAGGCAGAGATTAAAAAAACAGCAGCAGCAGCAGCAGCAACAGCAGCAGCAACAGCAGCAGCAACAGCAGCAGCAACAGCAGCAAATGGTGAAAATGGTTTTTAATACGGTATACAGAAGGCGCTTGTTGAAGCAGCAGCAGCAGCACGAAGGCTGCTGGCTTGAGGGGAGGAGACAGCGAAATGCTCCAGCAGCACGACGCCTTGCTGCTGCTGCTGCTGCTGCTGCTGCTGCTGCTGCTGCTGCTGCTGCTGCTGCGAGGCAGCAAAACCCCTCCTATATATGCATGCATAATAAACAACAAGCCCCTAAACATCCAGTTCTCTCAACCGCTTCCTGCAGCAAATATTGCGTATCTATTTGTGCTGTGTTGTACACATATAGACTTCGTAATATATATATATATATAAATGTATATATATATATATACATATATTTTGCATGCATCCGGAGTTGATGAGACAGCGAGAAAAAAAGAGTTTGCATGCATTAAGAAATAAAAGAAAGCCCCAAAAGGAGACAGGCAGCAGACTTTGTTTGCTCTGCACTGTCTCCACGTGTCTATATACAATACAAACAAAAAGAGGAGAAATCTTAAACCCTAAACCCTAAACCCTAAACCCTAGGCACGCTCTGGCTGTCTAGGGTTTAGGGTTTAGAGGCCCCTCTCTATCTACAGAGAAGAGACTGTCTCCTTTAATATGAAGAGGCTGTCTTCTATATTCTTATCCATATACATATACATATATGTATATATATATATGATATATATATATATGTGAATTTACATATATACGTATATATTTTATCTATTTATATATCTGCACCTTTTTCTGTATACTTATGTTTAAATCTATATCTAAATATCTATATATATATATATATATATATATATATAGATAGATAGATATATATATACATCTATATATCTATCTATGTGTATATAATTGTATATGTATATCTCTGTATTTATCTGCATAGCTATCTATATGCCTATACATTAATATATATTTATATCTACATATCTATATATGTGTATACATGTCTATATATATATATATTTATATTTATATTTATAATTAAGTGCATTCATATATTTATATGTTTATAAAGACATATACATACACACAATAACTCTATTCTTCTGTCTCCGCCGTCTGAGTAGAGCTGTCTCCTTTTAGGAAGGCACAGGAGACAGAAAGGAGACACTCTGATTGTTATTAGATATTATTTTAATTTGTTTAATGCAACATCTATAGTACAAAGAAAGGAGACAGTAAAGAAAAGGAGACAAAGGAGACAGCTGCAGCAGAGACTGTCTCCGTCTTAAATAAACAAATAATAATAACAACCCTTCGTCTCCTTCTGCAGTTCATCTGCTGTCTCCAACTCAACACCTATCGCCTTGAAGCCCCAGTCGCTGTCTCCTTTCTGTCTCCTTTCTGTCTCCTTTCTGTCTCCTTTCTCAGAACTATATACACAGCGATCTGCTACACATCCTAACGGTGCCTCCCTCTATCACGACAGCGACCTAGCTAGCTAGCTTGGTAGCTAGCTAGCTAAGTTTCAGTTAAGTTAGTTTCCTATCACTTAGGGCTAACTAAGTCTTGTTGCGGTGCATGCAAACAACAGGTGTACGTACACCTGAAGCATCCCCCTAAAAAATAATAAGATATTAAATACAATTGTCTATGGAGAGATCAGCTGTACATACACCTCAAACAACGAAAGTAAAGAAGTCTATTCAGGTCTCAGCTGCACATACACCTCAAACAAGTAGAGGCAGCAGCAGAGAATTTAGCAGCAGCTTCAGCCGCTCCTCAGCGTCGCTGGCTTCCCTCCACTCCTCCTCCCTCACAGTTATCTGCAGCAGCAGCAGCAGCAGCAGCAGCAGCAGCAGCAGCACAAAGAAGCAACATCGATTGGGCCAGAGAGCAGCACAAACAAATCTTCGTGAGGAAAAGGAGAAGAAAAAAGAGCAGCAGCAATAGCAGCAAGGGGCACAGCAGCAAATGAAGCATCAAGAAGCAGCAAGCAGCAGCAACAGCAGTATGAGCAGCAAACAGCAGCAATAGCAGCAGCAGCAGCAGGCCTAGTAACAAGCGCAGCTAGAAGCAGCAACAAAAGCGCAGCAAAGAGCATAAAGAGCAGCCCAGAAGCAGCAACAAGAGCAGCAATCAACAGCAGCAGCAACAAGAGCAGCAGCAGCAGCAGCAACAACAGCAAAACGAGAAAAGCCCTCACCAATGCATGTCCTGCACTGAGTATATGTCTGTATTTGAGCTGCATATACACCTCAGAGGGCCCCTCAAAGTCAGGGAAGGAGCAGACATCAGCTACAACAGCAAGAGTGCGTCTGCTGCTGTCTCCTTTTTGCTGCTCCGCCTCCAGCACCTCTGCTGCAGATACGAAGGCTCCTTCTGACGCTGCTGCTCCTGTTTGCGCTGCTGCTGCTGCTGCTGCTGTTGCTGTTGCTTGTGCAGCAGCAGCAGCAGCAGAAGGCCATACAAACAAAGAAGCAACACGGTAGGTGCGGAGACAGGGGAGCCCCTTGAACTGTACAGACACCCCAACACGCTCAACACTTCCTTCGTCAGCTATCAGCAACTCTGCCTCCTGCTGCTGCTGCTGCTGCTCCTCCTGTTGCTGCTGCTGTTGTTGCTGCTGCTGTTGCTGCTGCTGCTGCAGGCGAGCGTCCACGGTTAGAAGCAGCCTTTGTCTGAAGTCCTCCTGCTTCAGGAACTCCTCAATCTGTACGAAGCAGCAGCAGCAGCAGCAACAACAAGAGCAGCAATCAACTGCAGCAACGGGCGTCTATCGCAGCCGCGCCACAGCTGATGCGAGCAGCAGCAATCGCAGCAGGAGCAGCAATCGCAACAGCATCACAACGACAGCAGGAGCAGCAGCAATCGCAGGAGCAGCAACAGCAGCAGCAATCACAGCAGCAGCAACAGCAGCAGCAATCGCAGCAGCACCTCCTGTTCAAGAAGTGTCTCCTTCTCATCTCGCTGCGCTTCTGCTGCCTCCCCACAAGGAGAGGTAGGGAAGGAGGTAAACTCGTTAAGGCCCTCACGCTGCAGCAGCTGCAGCAGATACAGCACATAACCCCAACAACCATGTTGCTGCTGCTGCTGTTGCTGCTGCTGCTGTTGCTGCTGCTGTTGTTGCTAGCAACCTGGGGGACACTGATCGACCCCTGCTGCTGTTAGTTTGCTGCAGCAACTGCTACGGGTTTTGCTGCTGCTTGCAGCAAGGAAGGGGTCTGGAGTAGGGGCTACGCATAGGGTGCAGCAGCAGCTGCTGCTGCTACTGCTGCTTATGTTGTTGCTGCTGCTACTATTGCTGGTGCTTCTACTGTTTTGCTGTTGCTACCAATGTTGCTGCTTCTACTGTTGCTGCTGCTGCTACTGTTTCTGTTGCTGTGCGAGTTGCTCCTGCTGCTGTTGCTGCTGCTGCTGCTACTACTGACCTCACGCAGGGGCTTTGCCTGCTTATCGAGACACAGCTCAAGCGATATTTGCTGCAGCCGCAGCGGCACCTCGCCCCACATGTCTCTGCAGCAGCAGCAGCAGCAAACGCAGGTCGCAGCAAGCAAGTGCAGCAGCAGCAGCAGCAAAACCAGGTGGAAGCAAGCAGATGCAGCAGCAGCATCAGCTGCAGCAGAGGGAAGGGCTGTACAGGGCTGTCCTCACTCCGTCGTAAGGGCGCCTTGCTGCTGCTGCTGCTGCAATTGCTGCAGCAGCAGCAGCATCAACCGATGAGATCCTCTGTGCAGCTGCAGCGCAACTGCTGCCCAAGCAGCAGTCAGCGCATCAGAGAAGCAGCAGCTCCACGCCCTTTCACTCAGCTGCCTCTCAGCCTCCTGCAGCAGCAGCAGCAGCAGCAGCAGCAACAGCAACAAGAGCACCGCAAAACAGCATCCTCAACCACCTCCAGTTGTACAGGAAGCAGCGCAGCAGCAGGCGCCCAGCAACCACAGCAACAGCAGCAGCAGCAGCAGCAGCAGCAGAGCTTCACGACCCCAGCAATGAGGTGTACGTACACTGAGGAGACTCAGCGAAGGCCCTGCGCTTGGGTTGTTTTGCAGGGCAGCGAGCGAAAGGAGACAGTCAGCAAGACGAGACACAGACAACAAGGGAGCAACACCTGCAGCAGCAGCAGCAGCAGCAACCGCAGCAGCATAATTAGCAGCAGCAGCAGGAAAGCAACACTTGTCACAGCGAGAGCAACACCAGCAATCAAATGGCTGCAGGAACAGCAGCAGCAGCAGCAGCAGCAGCAGCAGCAGCAGCAGCAGCAGGGCTTACGCGCTAAGTGGTAAGACACCTCCACGAAGGCGGAGCCGTTAGTTGCACCGAGTGTAGCTAAGGCTAGCAGCACCGAAGACAGAGGCAGCAGCATCAGCTGCTGCTGCAGCATCTCCTCCCCTTGCTGCTGCTGCTGCTGCTGCTGCTGCTGCTGCGGGGCTGTGGGGCCCCCAAACTGCAGCGCGAGTTGCAGCCGCAGAGCATCAGCAGCAAGATTAACAAGACGGAGATGACGCACTTGCAGAGAGGAGAAGCCGATTAGCAGAAAGCTGAGGTCCTCAGCTGTAAAGTGCGTTGCTGCTGCTGCGTCTGTGTCTGTGTCTGCTGCTGCAGTGTCTGCTGCTGTTGCTGCTTCTGCTGCTTCTGCTGCTGCTGCATCTTCTGAACCCCCTACTGCCTTCTGCTGCTGCAGCAGCATGCGGCAAACGTGCTGCGCATACACCTGAAGGAAGGCCTGGAGCTCAGCCTTGGGTAGTTGCTGCTGCAGCAGCTTCTGCTGCTGCTGCTGTTGCTGGTTGCTGCTGCCGGAGAGTGTGGGGCTGCAGTTACCTGTTGCTGCAGCCAGCAGAAGCGGCACCTGCGCCAGCTGCTTCGGCGTTAGCTGCAGCAGAGGCCCTGCAGCAGCAGCAGCAGCAGCAGACGGGGGCCCCTCCCGTGGCTGCCCTCCACCGAGAATGTAGAGGAGGCGAGACAAGACATCAGGAGGACAGTGCTGCAGCAGCAAACAGCAGCAGCAGCAGCAGCAGCAGCAGAAGACAGGAAGCCATGCATCAGCCAAACAGCTCCAAGCAGCACAACCAGCGGCAGCAGATGCAACTACATCGGCAGCAAAGGCAGCAGCAGCAGCAACAGCAGCAGCAGCAACAGCAGCAGCACCTGCAAACGAGCTAGAGAGAGCAGCAATCTGTACAGCTGGGGGGCAGTGAAGCCAATCAATCTGCTGCGCAGTTGCTGCAGCAGCTGCTGGAATCTGCTGTCATTCAGCAGCACATGGTGCTGCTGCTGCTCTGCTGCAGCAGCAGCAGCAGCAGAAAGGAACGCCACGAACTCATCCGGCAGAATGCTCGTGTTGCTGCTGCTGCTGCTGCTGCTGCTGCTGCTGCTGGGGTGGGCAAAGGAAGTGTGCTTCCGCTGCAGCAGCCGCTGCACACTTTGCAGCAGCTCTTCTACTGTTAGTCGTTTTGGCCGCTGCAGCTGCAGCAGCAGCTCCTCCTCAACCCCTCGTGCTACAGGTCTCTGGTTGCTGCTGCTGCTGTTGTTGTTGCTGCTGCTGTTGCTGCTGCTGCTGCTGTTGCTGCGGGACTGAAGCCAAGTTGCGGGTGCTGCTGCAGTTGTAGCAGCAGCACAAAATGAGGGGAGTCTGTTATGAGGCAGCAGCAGCCGCAGCCCCAGCGGTCTACGCGCTAACAGACGCAAAGCCATCTCTAAGGTCACTGTGCTGCTGCTGCTGCTGCTGCTGCTGCTGTTGCTGCTGTTGCTGCTGCTGTTCTTGCTACTATTACTCCTCCCGTCGTTGGATCAAGGCACTGGGAGGTATTTCTAATTGTTGTGTAGCTGCTGCTAGCTACAAGGAGCTGCGGTGTTTAGCTGTTGCTGCTGGTTGCTGCTGCAGCTGCTGCTGCAGCAGCAGCAGCAGCAGCGACTGTTGCAGCAGCAGCAAGAGGAAGCAAGCAGCAAATGCCTTGGGGGGCCCCTGCCTGTCTTTATATCTTCCTAATATGGATCCCCTTCTAAAGGAGAAGGAGGACCCTGAGCCCTCAGAAGCACTACCATCACTTCCTGCTGCTGCTGCTGCTGCTGCTGCTGCTACTGCTGCTGCTACAGGCGTGCCTTGTTGCAGCTGCTAGTTGTCTGCTTGCTGCCGGCTGTTGCTGTTGCTGCGACAGTTTGCTGCTGCAGCAAAAACACTCAAGACACTCTATTGAAGACAAATTTTTAATCAACTCTACTAGTGCTGCTGCAGCTGCTGCTCGGCCTCCCTGGGGCCCTGCAGCCGCAGCAGCAGCAGCAGCAGCAGCAGCAGCATCGGCCTGCGGGATTGCTGAGGGAGGCGGAGCAGCAGCCGCCTCATCGCCCTACTTTTTAAAGGTTTCTTTAATGAGACCGACTGCTAATTAGCCCTGAAACGCCAAGAGATTTGCTGCAGCAGCAGCAGCAGCAGCTGCAGCAGCAGCAGCAGCAACAACCTCGACCCCTCGCATGCACTGGGGGGTCTTTCAGGGCCTTCATGAGGCTCTTTTCATCTCCTCCCCTCAAAGTAGACACCAAAATTCGGGTGTACAGACACCCCAGTCGCAGCAGCAACAGCAACAGCAGTAGCGATAACTACTGAGGCTCCGCAGCAGCACTGCAGCAGCAGCAGCAGCGGCAGCAGCAGGGACAGCAGCAGCAACGTTTGTTGCCCTTGGAGACATTTACGGGAGACGGGGTCTTTCTCACTTCTTGTTGCAGGAAGAGCAGCAGTAGCTGCAGCAGCAGCAGCAACAGCAGCAGCAGCAGCTCTAGGAGTTCCAGCAGCAGCAGCAGCAGCAGCAGAGGCAGCAACTGTACGTACACCCCATTGAACTCATGGAGGTAGACAACGGGCCGGCGACGGCTCCTTCATCCCTTGAAGGTGCTGCTGCAGGTGCAGCAGCAAGCGAAGGGCTCTCAGCAGCAGCAACAGCAGCAGCAGCAGCAGCAGAAGGCGCAGCAGCAGACAGCTCCTCCGAACTCCCTGAGGGGCATATTGCAGCAGCAGAGGAGGGAGATGAACCCACAGAAGATGATGAAGACCCCAGCGAGGAGGGTGAGACTGCTTGCTGCTGCTGCTGTTCTTGCTGCTGCTGCTTTTGCTGCTGTTGCTGCTGCTGCTGCGGTTTTTGCTGTTGCTGCCGTTGCTGCTGCTGCTGTTGTTGTAGTTGTTGTTGCTGTTGCTGCTGCTGTTGCTGATGCTGTTCTTGCTGCCGTTGCTGCTGCTGTTGTTGCTGTTGCTGCTGCTGCTGCTCTTGCTACGGCTGCTGTTGCTGCTACTGTTGTTGCTGGTGGTACTGTTGCACTTGCTGCTGCTGAAGTCTCAGCAGCAGCAAATAATATATGAGGGGGGTTTTATGTGCGGCTGCTGCCCTGCAGAAGAGGACAGTGATACTGGCGGTGCTGCTGTGCCGGTGAGTTGCTGTTGCTGTTGCTGCTGCTGCTGTTGCTGCTGCTGCTGTTGCTGCTCCTTTTGCATCAACCGTTGCTTCAGGTTTTGCTGCTGCTGTTGTCTTAGTTTATGTTTACAATCGGAGTATTCTGGCTGAAAGAAGCGCCGCATTTTTATTCGCCCCTGCTGCTGCTGTTGCTGCTGCTGCTACTCTGCTGCTGCTGCTGCTGCTGTTGCTGCTGTTGCTGCTGCAGGAAGGGGACTACAGCGAAAGGCTGACGGAGTTGCTGCGGCAGGCCGATGCATACTCTGCACAAATCACAGGGGGGACAGCTCCAGCCCCTTCCACCAAGAAAGTAAGCAGCAGCAGCAGCAGCAGCAGCAGTAGCAGCAGCAGCAGCAGTAGCAGCAGGAATAAGTACAGCTGCATCTGCTGCATTCCCCGCAGTCGTGAGTCTGCTGCTGCACATCTTTATGCTCTAACAGAGTTGAGGCTTCAACTGTATATCTTCTTCTACCTGTGGCTATCTGCTGCTGCTGCTACTGCTGCTGTTGCTGCTGCTGCTGCTGCTGCTGCAGGCTTCTAGCACGCGTTCTCACTTGCTGACGGAGAAGGAGGAAGACGATTTGCTGCTGCAGGCAGCGCAAGAAGAAGAGACAGCGCGGGGACTATACATAAGAATAACTGAGCAGCCTCAAAGCATAAGGGGGCAGATGAAGAGCTATCAGATTGAAGGTTTAAATTGGCTGTATCAGCTATTCAGAGTAAATGATTAATTAATTATTAATTAATTAATTATTTTACATCATCTATTCTAAACTAATCCTTTATTCATTTAAAATTAATATCATGCTGCCTTCAGAGAGTTATTAACATGCATTTTTGCATGGTTTGGGTTCGGGTGTATAGGCAGCTGTATGTAGTTTGTGGGGTTTGTGTTGGGGTGTATAGGCAGCTCTTTGTTGTTTATTTGATTTATGTTGGGGTGTATAGGCAGCTCTTTGTTGTTTATTTGGTTTGTATTGGGGTGTATAGGCAGCTGAACATCAACGGCATTTTAGCGGATGAGATGGGTCTAGGCAAGACGCTGCAGTGTATTTCTTTGTTAGCTTTTTTAAAATATGAAAGAGGGGTCGGAGGCCCTCACTTAATTATCTGCCCCCGTTCAACGCTAGACAACTGGTTCGCAGAGACAGCTAAGTGGTGAGCCCTCTTGCTGCTGCTGCTCTTGCTGTTGCTGCTGCTGTTGTGGCTGCTTATGTTGTTGCTGTGGTTGCTGCTGCTTCTGTTGCTGCTGCTGTTGTTGCTGCTGCTGTTGCTGTTGATGCTGCTGTTGCTGCTGTTGTTGCTGCTGCTGTTGTTGCTGCTGCTGTTGTTGCTGCTGCTGCTGCTTTTGCTGCTGCTGCTGTTGTTTTTGAGGGCAGCAACTAGTCGTGTCGTTAGTATGTCTGTATGCAGCATAAGAGTTTGAATCTTTAACTTCAGCGTGCATAAAAAAATGCTTTAAACGCATGCATCAAATAAAATAAAATAAAACAATTAACTAATTAATTTATTTATTTGTCTATTTGTTTAATGCTGCAGGTGCCCTCAGCTTCGAGCTGTTCGGCTGCACGGCACAAAAGAACAGAGAGAGATAATATTTAATGAAGAGATGGGGGGCGACGACTTTGACATATGTTTGACAACATATGAAATGATAATTAAAGAAAGAAGCAGATTGTCTTCAAAGTATGCTGCTGCTGCTGCTCCTACTGCTGCTGCTGCTGCTCCTACTGCTGCTGCTGCTGCTCCTACTGCTGCTGCTGTTGCTAGTTGCTGCTACTGCTGCTGCTGCTGCTGCTAGTTTGCTGCTGCTAGTTTGCTGCTGCTACTGCTACTACTCTGCTGCTGATATTGCTGCTGGTACTGCTTCCCCTACAGCTACTCTGCTGCTGTTGCTGCTGCTACTACTGCTACTGCTGCTGCTGCTGCTGCTGCTGCTGCTGCAGGTACAAGTGGGAGTACTTGGTGATGGATGAGGCACACAGAATAAAGAACGAGAAGAGCATATTAGCAGATGTCGTGCGACGATTTAGCCCAAGGCATCGCCTCCTTATCACGGGGACTCCGCTTCAAAATAATTTACGCGAGCTTTGGTCTCTGCTCAACTTCATCATGCCGCAGGTATCTCCTCTTAATGCTGCTGCTGCTGCTGCTGCTGCTGCTGTTGCTGCTGCTGCTGCAGATGCTGGTGTTGCTGCTGCTCATGCTGCTGCTGCTGCTGGGGTGGCAGTTGGTCTTGATATGCTGCTGGTGCTGCATGTTGAGAAGGAGCAGCGGTCGGAAGCACCATGCTGCCTTAGCAGCAGCAGCAACAGCAGCAGCAGCAGTAGCAGCAGCAGCAGAAGAAGAAGATTGCTTGAACTTTAGTTTGCACTGCGGGTTTGTTTGCGTGTGTGTGTGTGTGTGTGTTTGTGTCTGCTGCTGCTGCTGTTGCTGTTCTTGCTGCTGTTGCTGCTGCAGCTGTTTGACAACACGTTGCACTTTGAGAGTTTGTTTGATTTCTCTCGGTTTGGCAGCAACGAGCAGCAGCAGCGGATGATTCAAACGCTGCACCGCGTGCTTCGCCCCTTTATGCTGCGGAGACTGAAGACAGACGTAGCCAGAGACTTGCCGCCTAAGAGAGAGGTGTATATCTTCGTTGGTAAGGGCTGCTGTTGCTGCTGCTGCTCCTGTTGCTGCTGCTGTTGCTGCTGGCGGTGCTGCTGTTGCTGCTGCTGTTGCTGCTGGCGGTGCTGGTGCTGCTGGCGGTGCTGCTGCTGCTGCTGCTGTTGCTGCTGGCGGTGCTGGTGCTGCTGCTGCTTCTGCTGGTGCTGCTATTTCTGCGGTTGCTGGTGCTGCTATTTCTGCTGTTGCTGCTGTTTCTGTTGTTGCTGCTTCTGCTGCCGATGCATTATCTGCTGCTGTTGTTATTACAGCTTCTGCTGCAGTTGCTTCTACCTCTACTGCTGCTGCTGGTGTTGCAGCTATATCTGTTTACCTTCCTTGAAGTGCTGTTATTGCTTGCTGTTCTTTGCTGCACATTTGCTGCTGCTGCTACTATTGCTGCTGCTGCAACTATTGCTGCTGCTGCAACTATTGCTGCTGCTGCTGCTACAATTGCTGCTGCTGCTGCTGCTACAATTGCTGCTGGTGGCTGGTTGTGTAGGTATGTCAAAGTTACAGAAGAAGCTGTACGCGGACATCTTATCAAAGAATTTGGAGGTGTTGAGTTTGATGTCTAGCAGCAAGACTCAGATGCTGAATATATTAATGCAGCTGCGCAAGTGCTGTAACCATCCTTATCTCTTCGACGGTGTTGAGCCTGGGCCCCCCTATGTTGAAGGCTATCATTTAGTTGAAGCCGCAGGGAAGAT